TGGGTGGACCCCAGACGCTGCACATCACCACAAACACACCATCCCCACCATGAAGCACGGTGGTGGCAGCATCATGCTGTGGGGATGGTTCTCAGCAGCTGGCCCTGGAAGGCTTGTAAAGGTAGAGGGTAAAATTATTGTGGCAAAATATAGGAAAATCCTGGAGGACACTCTTATTCAGTCTGCAAGAGAAGTACGGCTTGGGAGAAGATTTATTTTCCAGCAAGACAATGACCTGAAGCATACAGCGAAAGCTACACAGAAATGGTTTAAAGACAAGGTGAGTGTTGTGGAGTGGCCGAGTCAAAGCCCAGACCTCAATCCAATAGAGAATTTGTGGCTGAACTTAAAGGGCTGTTCCAGCCCGTTCCCCATGCAACCTGGCAGAGCTTGAACAGTTTTGTGAAGAAGAATGGAGTAAAACTGCAGTGTCCAGATGTGCAAGCCTGACTGAGACCTATCCACACAGACTCAGTGCTGTGACTGCAGCCAGAGGTGCATCTACTAAATACTGACTGGAAGGGGGGGAATATTTATGTAGTCACTTATTTGACATTACATATTTTTATTTAATTGACATTACTTTGTACAAACCTATTTTCACTTTGACAGTTTTTTTTGTAATTTTGTTTTTGTCAGAAAAGCCAAATTATATTGACCATGGTCGATTTATAAAATCTATAAAAGGATAAAACATCCAAGGGAAGGGGGTGAATACTTTTTATAGGCACTGTATGGCAGTCACTGCAGCACACTTCTTCACTACTGCTCGAGATTTTATATAACACTACTGTACATTTTGAGCAGTTTTGCCAAAATTCTTGTCATGGAGGCTTAAAATGCACTGAGCTTATGCTATAAAAAGAAACTGTAATATAACATGCATTTGGAAACAGATTTTAAAAATGTACCTAATTCTACACTGTGTGGTAGAAACATCTGTTGAGATCAATGCTGCATTAAGTGCATTTACAATTTAGTTTTATGGGGTTTTTTTAAGCCTTTGCTGTTTTTATTCTATTGCAGTAGGCGCTTGTGTGTCTCTTTGCCCATCTTTACTTGAAGATTCAAAGCCTACTACTGTTTCCCAAAAGCATTGGTCCCATTGAATAACTCAGTGAAAAACTGCAAAAAAAAAAAGTTCTTTGAAGGTGGAAAAATAATGTATTTGGAAGGCTGTCATTGCAGGGTTTTCTGAATTTCTGAATGAAGACACTTCATTTCTAAAAATTCAGAAGTCATCATTCATGCCAACAGAATATTAGAAAATTGTCTTTAGCCCACTTGCAGTGGGTGGCTGCACAGCAGTGAATGGTGTGTAAAGGACAAATTTAGGACTGGATAAATGTGCTTTAACTCAATTTTGAGGCTAGGTCACTCGGCTCGGAAACTAATATTCACAGTTGAGAGACCAGTGCTCAAATGTGTCACACACAAATCAACAGACTGTGATGCTGAGAGTGTGGAGAAGGTCATTCACTGAGATTCCCAGGGTGCACACTGCTATTTACACAAACATCCAAGCCGCTGATGTGTCACTGGCTCCAGGTTCCAGTTTCACAAAGACAGACTTTGCCAATGGCATAGACGTCAGACAGATATCTCAGTTCCTCAGTCACACAGTCTTTAGTGTCTTGATAAGGAAGATTTTGCCTTGAATTGTGTGTAAATTAAGGCTCTTTCCTTGGCTAACCAACCAACCGTGTCAGACTCCTCATCTTTGTTCACTGCAGCAGAAAATAGTTGCCTTCTGTGAGAATTAAACTGCTTCACAGAGATTTAGTAGAAAATTCAGCAAAGAATGTAACAATACAAGAAACTTCCAGCACTGAAAAATCTCAGTGCAGTACAGACATGTACAGTAGTAGTGCTGAGATATATTTCCAACAGGTTATTTATTGTACACTCCAAAAACGCTTTCCCTGCCATTGCTCACTCCATAAAATGTTAATGAGTCACAAATGTTTTGCCTTTTTTCTCATTTGGTGCTAGTAATCACCAGCTTGGGGATAGGGTGGCTAACTTTCTAGTTTAGACTTAATACGGTAAATCAGTCTTTATTTGCGTGAAACTGTCTAACTGGCATTAAACTAATCAAAGAGCAAAATCTCACAAGTGAATCCATTTTTATTGGAGTTCATTTATTTCACTATATTAAATGCTGGTATGACCAGGCTTTAACGCTGCAAAGGCTGTGGGATATAAGACTAAGGCTCATAAGGGAATCATGTAAATAGACTTTTGATTTTCATCTGAACTTTTTGCTTAGACACAAAAACAGAAAATGCTGAGATTCACAATGTTTGGGTTTTAAACCCTTAGCAGAAAAAACAAAAAAAGCCCAAGTCTGTTGACTTTCAATCTATGTATGTGTTTGGTTCTTTTCTTAATGTTTATGTGTATAAGACTCTTTTCCTCTTGTTGCTTGTATAAGAGCTTATTGTACATCTGACCACACTTGGCTTTTAATGTTTGAACTGAATCAAGATTTTATGTATTTATTTTGACATTTACTTAATTAAACTGGAAGCAATGAGCACATATTTTAGCATTATGGCTCGAGCCCACAGTAGCACAGCGTGTGTGGCTTGCTGGACTGTGGTGAGACGTACTCAGGAACAAAAAGACCCATGCTCCCGCCGGAGACTTGCTTCAGCATCACCGCATCATTAATCACATGGATTTGAAACAGTACAGTTCACTCTGTGACCTGTGGCTGGGAGCATTGTCCCTGAAAATTTTTTAGCACTGAACGGCTTGGTGAACAACCATGTAAATAAAGATGACATCGGCTGCTTTGCTTTATGAAATCTGGACTGTATTAGTTTAAGATTCTTTCCAAAGTGCTTTTATTTTGAATTATTGTGCCATAATATCCTGTAGTGTTTTTCTGCTGGTTTTAGGTGATGTTGAATCTGCCACTTAGATAAATCTAAGGTGTTACTCTCTGCTAAATGCTCAGTGGGTGTCTGTCAGCAAAGCTACAGCTGCTGTGTGTTCCAGCGCTTGTTGAAGCATAGCAGCAGTGTAAAAGGAAGTTCAATGAATGCACTGAAAGAGATCTATACATCTGTCTCTCTATGGTTGCCATGGCAGCCAATTGCAGATGAACAGACCAGACATCCCCAGATGTGTATCTGTTCCTCCACTCCCTGTTGTTCCTGACTCTGCTGCTTGTACACATTTTCAAGTGAGAGGGTACATTTTCTTTTTGTTTCTAATTAGTAGTTAGGTCCTTCACAAAGTCTGGAATCATTTGTTTGCACTGTCAGAGCTGAACTGGATCCAGTATAGCTTTATTTGGTCAAGCCTTATTTTGAGTTGTGTTACCAGAGGAACTGAAACTGTAATAAGCATCTCAGCCTGTCAGACAGCCCACCCCTTTGTTCCAGGCTGAAACATCTGCTGGATGGACTGTCATGAAATTTGGCAAATACATTCATATTACCCTCAGGATAATTTATAATCACTTTCTCCTAGCACCACCAAAGGTCTAGAACGCTACCTGAACTTGAATTTACAGTAGTACTAGTTGACAAATGTTAGCATGCTAACATGCAAAACTAAGACTAAATATGCTAAATATTATACCTGAATGGTCATTGTTAGCATTCTGATGTTAGCATTTGGCTCAAAACACTGCTGTGTCTACACACAGAGCATACTAGCATGGCTGTAGGGCTATGTTAGGCAGACAGTGACCTTCCAAGAAATTTTTGCCCCTTTGACAAAAGCTGACAAAAGTTTTCCTCTTATAATTTACACCATAATTTTATTTCTACAAATTTATTCTGGGTACCACTGTAAATATAAGGATTGTGTACAACATCACACATCTGATCATAATTACTGCCCACACACAGAGAGACATGCAAATTGAGGGTACCTCATTCTGCACAAGGCTAACTAGCTTTACAAACATCTGGAGTTAGAGAGGAAAAGTTAAACGGAGCTTAATTCCATAGCTACAGACAGGAAAATGCTGTTTCTGTGCTAGAGGAGCCTGGAAAATGGCATGAAGGGACATTAGGACTGAAATATTTCAGCTGAATCACAGCAGTCATTTCAACACAGGTTAGAGGATCTGATTATGGCTATCCAACAAATGATTGCCCACACTTCTCTCCTACCTTCAGCCACTGTTACAGACTCATCTGCCATACATTTGTTGGAAAATGGATTTAGTTCCACTGAATTTCATGGCCACCTCTTACAGTGAAGCATTTCACTCCAGTTTAAGCCCAGACTGGCCTAGCCAGTGACCAATGCTTGTTTTCCCTCTGTGTGTTTGGACAGCTGTGGCTGGTGTGTGCTAGGGACACATTTAGGATTGATTATGTGAACTTTTTTCAAAGCTAGCTCATGGGCAGTGAAGCAGACTGAAGATTTAAACTCTGGTCTTTCAACTGGGGGATGTAACAGGCAAGCAGCAGTCAGCTTAAGGAGACTCCCAATATGCAGAGCTGTGATAGCAGGAAGGCTACAGACAGACATTACACATACATGAAGTTCTATCATACTGTAGTTTCAGGCATCACAAAATAACTTTAATGTTTTGGAAGAAACATTACATTGGCACTTTGTTTAAATTTTGCAAAAATGCAGCAAAGCTGTTGTAGCTATAACTGGACTTCTTATATTCATTCTTTTGATTTATGTATTATACCTAAACCAAATTAAATAAGTGGTGAACAAAGATGGTTTTCAGATTTTATTCAAGCTAGATTTGTGTTGCTTTACAGTATATTATCAAGCCCTTGGTTTGTTTTTCAGGAAACAGTGGGAAATTATCTGTTCCCCTTCCAATTGTCATGATGATAATTTTATGGTTTGTGATATGGGACTATAAAATATGTATTTTTACTTGAACTTTAATTTCTCATTTAAGAAACAGACATGGCCAACATTTACTTGAATGAATGTGTGTTGCTGCTACCTGTTGCGTTCTGATACAAGTCCTTTACACAAAGTCATTTTCTTGTTAAACCAGTTTCTAATGTCCACATTCGCCTAACAATTATTGTTGGTGAGTAAATCGTACCAAAGAAAAGAAACACACTGTATAAAAAAAAAAAAAGCTGTTACTGACATTTTCAGGCAGAATTTGACTGCTGATCTGAAAGACTGTTCTTCACTCAGAGTGCAATCAATCAGGTGCGCTGTTAAAAATCGTCCCCAGGGAAACTATAACGGCGGAAAGCAGGTTCTGCAGAAACACAAATGAGCGATCCAAAACATTGGCAGTGAGTAAAGAGTATTTTTTACACCACTTTACAAAGGCTAATGTATAATTAGCAGTGTAATTTCACCTCCATATGGGTTTTTACTTGAGTATCATCATAAATAATCAGAAACGTTCAGTTATTTATGGAGTTCAGTGCTGGTCAAGAGGCTTCTCCACCTGTTGCAGCACTGCAGTGGCTATGACATGTCATTTTCAGTCACCAGGGGGCAGTGAAGCCTCTCAGCCTGGCTGACAGCATCGTAGGCTGAACACTGGGCTGCCCTACTGTGTTGTGTGCCTATTCAGAAATGACTTATTTTGAGTGTGGAGGAGCCCTTGCTGTGACTCTGTGGTACGTAAACGGATGTGTAAAGCACTGAATCTGACTTCCAGGGTTGGTTTTCATCAAGCAATCATCAATATAAACAAAAAGCGAGTAGATTTAGGTAAAACTGACATCCTACGGTTTGATTCTTTTACAAGATACGCACGGTGCAGCAAGATACGCACGGTGCAGCAAGATGTAAAACTGAAAATGTGGATAGAGAAATGAGAAGAGTGGAGTTTTAAAAAACACCAATATACCAGATTTTGTGCATTGTCAGCACTATTTAAACAAAGTGATACCCTTGATTGCCTAATTAATAGTAATATTTCGAAAGCAGATGCAAACGTTTAAATATGCAGCAAAGGCAATTAAATAAATAAATAAATACTGTTCATGACGTAACCTGCCAATTAAAAACGATTCCTTTGTTTTCCATCCACATAATGTAATGTAACTGTGATCAGGTATTGTATGTACCCTGTGCACGGCGTATGAGTCACGCAAGATGCTCGTCCCATAGGTTCACCAGCAGCAGCAGCAGCAACAGCAGCGGCAGACACCGTCACCCACACAGAGGGAGGAGGGAACCGCTGGATCCCGTCTATTCTACTCCCCTCCGCTGGACTGATCACATTGATTGATCGTCGGGTGCGTCCCGGAGGAACACCCCCGTTTCCCCCACCTCTTCCCCCACCCCACCCCCTCACGAGGAGCTCGGGGATCGAGGAGAAGCCGCCGTTGTGTGGTCGCAGATGACACGCAGAAGAAAGTGTGTGGGCGGATAAGGAAGTTCAGAGCACGGATTGATGCTTACACACCTACTGTACACGCACTTTAGTAGCAGCGGGAGCAGCACACGCCGGGATCTCTACCCCCAGTTTCTATGAGCAGGGGTGATCCGCGTATGGGAAAATGATAATCAAGTTTGTGGTCATCCTCTTTGTACTTCTGCTCGCTCAAGGTGCTCGGTGAGTCTGATCTGCACCTTTTCTATTTGCATGATCAGGTGGAAGCTGTTTCTTTCTCTGGCGCTTCAAAAGTTGAGGGTACAGTGGCAATTGCGCATTTTAAGTGAATGAGTTAGATGATAATTAATATTTTTTCCAAGGGCTTTCCCGCCACATACACACAAACACACAGCCGTACAAACAAATAAGAGAAAAAACACAGCGACATTTTACTGCTGGGCCCAAATACAGAGTCTGGGCCCGGGTAATCATTCACAGTGGGTTTCACTTCAAATCTAAGCCGCATTCTTGATTGATTGTTATGTTTTTCTGCTGCCACAAAGTTTTCGTGACAGTGAGGTTTATTAAAGGGGAGCTGGGGTAACATGATTAACGACCCCCTATTTCTTCTTTCTTTTCACCCCACCTCCGTCCTCAACATTCCCCCAGTTCTGATCTACCGGAATATGACGATGACGATGAAGATCACCACGACACCACTGTCAATCAAATGCTGGTTCCCAGGTCCTACCAGGAGGCTGCCACACTTATACTAAACAATCTGCTCAAGGAGTATGACAAGACGCTTCGGCCAGACATTGGAGGTAGGATTAGATTATACTGATTTGATGTTTGAAGCTTGTGTAGGAAGTTCACTTACTGGTGCTGTGCAATGTCTTAAATATTACTGAATTGGACTGGAGCTGTCCAATGTGCTGAACATAGCTGGTTTGTATTGGGGCTGTCCATAGTTCTGGAGATTACTGGGTTGTATTGAAGCTGTCCATGGTGCTGGAAATTACTGGGTTGTATTAGACCGTCCATGGTGCTGAACTAGCTGGGTGGTGTTTGAGCTGTCCATGGTGCTGGGAATTAGTGGGATGTACTGGAGCTGTCCATGGTGCTGGGAATTAGTGGGATGTACTGGAGCTGTCCATGGTGCTGGAAATTAGTGGGCTGTACTGGAGCTGTCCATAGTGCTGGAAATTAGTGGGATGTACTGGAGCTGTCCATGGTGCTGGGAATTAGTGGGATGTACTGGAGCTGTTTAAAACTGTTACTTCACTTAAATGAAGCATTAGCCAACTATACAGGAAGTAAAATACCTTAACTGCAACAAAGGGGGAGGGTCACTGATGTGTCACCATTTCTATATCCTAAAGAGAAGTCTCTGACTAAACAGTTAATAGCACAATTCAGCTATTATTTCCACAGACATTTTCTATATTCTCACTGATCCAGGTGCTGCCTACAGGTCTTGCTCTCAGACAGGAGGTAAAACCTGAAAAGCTAAATCTGGGACAAAAAAAGTCCATATATCACCTGCTGCTGCCTGTAAAATTAATTACTGTATGAAAACAGTAATAACTGAAATCGACCCAGAAGAACATAGCAACATTTCCCTCCTATGGATTTTAGCAGCTGCACAATACAAAAATTCTTTTAAGAGACTTTTAGTGAATAAATCACATTGAGACCTTAACAATCAGGGAAATAAATGATGTATTTCAAAAAGAAAATAGGACATGTTCCCTCAATTCCCAGTGTAATTTGAACCCATGTCATTTGCCTTCCAGTGAAAACCATCATCTCTGACTTCTGTGATCAAGTGTACAAGGTGGTACATTAGCATCTCAGTAGGGAGATAGGGAGTCTAACACTAAGCAGTGATATTATTCTTGATGTAAATATTTCTGTCAGTCATAACTCAGTCAAATCTGAACACATCAGCAGGACTTACACTTTCTGTGGATATTATCTTCAGTGTCTACCTTGAATAAATGTCCATTAATCTGCTTAGAAATCACAGTAAAACATATTCTTTATAACTCCAGAACTTGCCTAATGATCAGTGACAGTTATTTGTAACTCAGTAACAGTACTGTAAACAAGAGCTGCTATAGCTGATTTGGCATACATTTAATAATGTCAGTTTGACCAAATGTAAACAAATACAGGCTCAGTAACTGACTTCAGGGAAATAGTAATGCTCATCTCACAAAATCTCCAAGTAATGGAATCTGTAGCTCCAAATCTATCTCTCAAATCAAAGCTAAAAACTAATGATAGGCAGTTTCATGTTGCACTATCAATATTTTTCAGAGTACTAAAGCTCATCAGCATGGTTCTTATATTTCTGGAAAACTGACACCACCCTCTATTTATTCATATACAGTTGTTTATACTATTTGCCCCAGGCGGTGTCTGAGGGGTGCCCACAGTGTCAGACGTTGGAGCCCTATAATTTCTCTATGGTACACTATAAAATATTTGAATGCAAATTTACAGTAAATTACTACTTCTTTGTTAATGATTGTTAATGTTTGTTTTTGGTATATTTTCCCCTTAGATTCAGGTTTTGCATCTATGTGTTGAAAGTTCTCCAGACAGGTTTCTTGTATATGCTCAGATTTTTTAATACAGTGAGAACACCACTGATTTTGCACATCAAAGTCTGTTTACAGGTGTTGAGAAGAACTGCATACAATATGTGCAAAAGGTTGCATAAAGCCTTTTGTGGCTCCAGAGGGAGCTGATTGAAGTCATCATTGTGGCTGTGTTTACTCATGGTAACAGTGAAACAACGGCGCCATCATGAGGTCAAATCTGAATAAATATTACGAGCTATCACTTAGATCCAGAATATTATAAAGTTATACTTGTTTTAAAGTTATACATGTCTTAAAAATAATAGTAAAACAATATTTCACACCAGAACAAAGACAAACATTTCAATGAATACCAGGAAGTTGAGTGCCTAACTGAATGAAATAGACGGAGTAGTACTGTATAGTCCTGGGCTTAGTGCTTTATGTCCAGTTCAGTAGTTAAAGCCAGTGGTTTCCAACCTAGAGGTCAAGTTCCTTACAACAGGTCACAGGCTTCGGAGGGCCATGACATGATGAATGGGCAAGAAAAGCTTCTGATACACACATTTCAAGTAATTTCTTTGCATGTCCTCAAGTCCTTTTCTTTTTTTCTTTTTTTTTTGGGATATAGTGGATAATGTCAACTATTATATTCACAACCACTGATTTAATTTCTTTAATCTGAAAAGTAACTATCTAGAGCTGTCAGTAAATGCAGTAGAATAAAAAGTACAACCTTACTTGTAAAATGTAGTAAATAGAAGTATCAGACAGCATAACGTGGATTTACTCGACTGCCTCAAGATTTTGCTTTGGGAAAGTACTTTGTACTTACACTAAATTGTCCCTAATTGGGATTTTGTATGCTACACATGTATTATCTGTCTCTCAGATGCAGGACTCATGGGGCTGAAGTCATTTTAAAGTTTATTAAGAATCAGATTTAAAGTTTATTAAGATTCAGGCTGAGACCTACTCCTACACCTTGAACTTGCCTTCATTAAGCCTGACTTTCTGTTCTATTGATTTCATTTGGGAGTTTAATAGCTTGAGATTAAGTTTCAACTGACTTTGTGCAAAGACTCAGGTGGGATCAATTATCTCCATATCATTAAGAGTGTTTATTTATGTTCATTGATATTTAAAATGGCCAAGCAGCCCGCTTTCACAAGCAGTAACCAGGTGGGATGTTATTTCATATATTTATTTATTCACCTCACAGGGAATCTCCCTCCAGCTCTGCTTCCATAATTAAGGATGAAATTTTGACAAACCTCAGTGTCGTCCATGAAATGTTAATGTCTTGGCAAGATAATGTGATGCAGCAGAAACACGCGGGTGTGCGGTTGGGGGAAAAAGATACACATGGAGATACACACAAAATGAACACACTTGGAGATGATGCTGAGTCAAAGACAGATCTGGGACATTTAAGTTATTGTTAAAAAAAGAGAGAGGGAGAGAGTGAGAGAACTGCTGCAATGGATCTCTAAGAAACATGCACACTCTCTCTCACACAAAAGGCTAACAAGTACACTCACATAGACAGCCAGCCACTGCATTCAGACTCATTTCTAAGATACACCTGGATTTTTGTCTAAATCAGGGGCATCTTTTTTAGACATGTACACACGTATTACCAATAGTCTTCCTTTGACACTTTTTAGATCTGAGCTCCTCTGTAGTTCTGCTTGTTTAAATGCATCTGTCTGTGGAACCAGAATACAAGCTGTTCTTTTAAACAAACAGTATTTCTATCCATCCATTGTCTATACAGTTTATTCCTGAATAGGGTCGTGGGGGTGCTGGAGCAAATCCCAGCTGACATTGGGCGAGAGGCGGGGTCCACCCTGGACAGGTCGCCAGTGTATCACAGGGCTGACATGTAGACAAACAACCACAATGAAGTACAGTTGTTTGTTAAAACTATTTCTTTAAGCTAAGATAAGTAGGGGAGGCTGGTACCCGTTAGAGATTTATATTTTTTTCTGCAGTGTTAGATCTTTGTGTAAAATTCTTGTATGTGTTGAAATGTGATTTATTTCAACATGTCCAGGCCATGCTACAGTTTATGTAGTGAAAAAAGATATGACCATTGTTTTTCACATGCGTCAGGAAAGTAACTTTGAGTGGGAAGAATCTATGAATCCAGTTTCATATATGATTGATCCTTGCTCCCCTAACAGCGCTCAGATGGAAATAATTCCAGGGTGAACAAGGATCTGGTAGAGATAAGAAACTTGGGACGCTGCCAGGTTGTATTTGCATTGGTTGTTACTAATCTTTCAGCTCAGTTACAAAGGTGAAAGGGCAGGATGCAAAGGTGACCTCATAGAACAGTGGTTCTCAGTGAATGCCCCCTTACTTTAAGTTGAAACCTCTTGCCACTTCCCACGCCCGACACACTGCCCTCAATGCAAACTGGATATTTTCCTTCACTAAGATCATCATTTAATCAGATTACCATTTGTTATGAGTGGTAGTTATTTCCAAATAATGTACATGTTCCTATATTTAAAAACCTGCCATGTCAAAATCCCATAGACAGCACTGAAGAGCAGCGTTGGGAAGAAACTAAGAACATTTACTCAAGTACTGTAATTTTGAGGTGTGTGTATTTAATTTTCTGCTGCTTTGTACTTCGCTACATTGTAGATGCAAATATTGTATTTTTTACTGCACAACATTTATTTCCTAACTTTAGTCACTAGTTACTTCTCAGAATCAGATAAATAAAACAATATAGTATGAGACCTTATTGATCCCCAGTGGAGCTCACAACCTGCCCAGCAAGTACCCAACAGTACTGTATTTCAAATTGTAAGCATATAAGGTAGTTGACATTAATTGATGTAAGCAGTAACTCATTATTATCCAATTATATGATGTGCATTAATGTGAAATGTGCCATTTTGCATAATTATTACTTTTTGTTTTGGTACTTTAAGTATATTCTGATGCTAATATGTTTGTACTTTTACTTAATTAATATTTTCAGTACAAGAATTTTACTTATAACAGAGTAATTTTATACAGTGGTACTGCTACTTTCACTTAGCTAACTAAGAGTACTTCTAAGAGTATATGAGTACTTCTTCCACCACTGCTCAAGAGTGCCTTTAAATGTATGTTTCAACCTCAAACATAAATTATTACTGCTATTATTTAGAAACCAACGAATTAATGAACAATGCACAATTAACTAAAGTAACGATCTGGATTATTTATTTACATGT